ATAAGATTCTAACTGCTGCGTGATGTGAGTTTACAATAGTTTTTACTTCACCAGGCTTTAAGAACAACCAACCACAGATTTCAATGCCATACTATTCATGCCAATATCTGACTATGGACATTAATTTAGAGTTATGGTAGTGAGACCCATTGTCAGATATTACCTTAATCCATTTAGGCTTTCTTTCTATTGTTTCGAATACCACCTCAAATGCAGATATAGAAAACCAAGCATCCTGCTTTGTATCTATAGACCAGTGATCATACGCTATAATATCTAATTCTGTTTGACTTTTTTAGTGAAAACTAAAATTGTATATAAGGTCCAACCATGTTTTTCAAAAAAATCTTTTTTTGTTTCGTGCACAGATTTAGGTAGTATTCGCATTTTATAATCGGCAATAAAGATTGCACTGTCAAAGTCAAGCTCGGCCAGCGGTGTTTGATATGAAAGGTAATATAATAGTTGTTCTCTTGAATCTGTTATTTGTTGTTGAAAGTCTAAAAACACTGATTCATTCATAAAATCCAAAAACTCGAACAATTCATCACAGTTAGAATATCATATTTCGTGACTATAAATGTATTTACCGAATGCATAAGGTAAGCAGTGAGATATACAGGGATCATGTTCTATATGACCATCTACTTTAACTTTTAACTCTTTTTCATAGTCTCGTCTTATGTGCTGTTTGAGCCGTTCAAAACGCAATAAAGTTTGTTTCTAATAAAAATTAATTGATAAGTAAATAAGGTTTATATTCTTAAAAGGTTAAAGGCATGAAAAATTTGTATGCATGCCTTTGTGCATGCGAAAAAAGTATGCCTATAACTCTGTTTTCTGCTTTAATTTTAAGAATTAAATAAATATAAACTAACCTTTAACTCGTTATTATTCATAAAAGTAGTATTAATAATATTTGTCAAATTTTCGAAGGTTTCATATCTATAATCATTGCAGATTATACATAATCTACCAAGATCTTTGCAATATCTAAGGTTTGTTGAAGTAGCTAATCGATCCATAAAGCTAGTTCTTTTCATACCATCTGGGTAAGTTTCGTTAAATTTTTCCCATAAATCGCTTTTTTGTTCCTGTAAATATAAAACTAGTAACTCTGTTTTTTTATCCAAATTGTATGAACTCATCGCAACATTATCTCGATCCAGAAAGAACAATCGAAATTGTTCTTCTTGTACATCAGTAAGTCTTTAAACAGTTC